GCGCGCACCTGGCCGGGCGCGCGCGCGGGAACGACCGGGCGCGCGCGCACGCGGCTGGTGACAGCCAGGGCAGCGCGGGGCTCGTCTGCATCCTGCGAATAAAACATGAGGAGAGAAGTCCGGGGGGTTGGGGTCGCATGTGGGATCTTCTCTGTGTTTGTGGAGGAGCGAAATGCGCTTTGTTACAGGAGACTTCAGAGTTAGGAGGCAGAAACTTGATTTTTTGCAAGCAGCCAGCAACAAGAAAAACTGTTTAAAGGTTCTATGAGTTAGTGAGATTTACAAAAGGGAAAAAAAAAGATATATACCCACCACAGTTTACACTTTGGGGCCTGGTTAATCAAAGGCAAACGTCGCAGGGAGCCAGCGGGTCTATGGATCTTGGACACGATTCGGCCCTGCTCCAGAGGAAGGTGGCTTTAGGGTCATTCCTACCTGGGGAAAAGGAAGAATGGAAATGGAACTGCAAATACTAATACTGACTTTGGGGCCTGGTTAATCAAAGGCAAACGTCGCAGGGAGCCAGCGGGTCTATGGATCTTGGACACGATTCGGCCCTGCTCCAGAGGAAGGTGGCTTTAGGGTCATTCCTACCTGGGGAAAAGGAAGAATGGAAATGGAACTGCAAATACTGAAAGGAAAAAAATAGAAAAGCTTATTGGTCACTAGAGGGTAAAGTGCCACAAGCTCATTAATTATGTGTTATTAATATAGTCACAGCCCTCCAAATTCCCCCCAGGGAGGTCCTATGCAACACTGTTACCAACAGCTCTGCCACAGAAGTGCCACAAGCTCATTAATTATGTGTCATTAATATAGTCACAGCCCTCTAAATTCCCCCAGGGAGGTGCTATGCAACACTGTTACCGACAGCTCTGTCACAGGGAGGAAGCCCCGGCCACAGTCCGGCTCCCGGCTTCGGAGGCAGCCGTGGCCTCTTGCCCCAGACACTCAAATCCCTAATCCCGTCAAGTACAAACGCAGGCTCCGAGACGGCAGCACCTGAGGGTCAAACGTCCCATCTTTCATGCTGCACCAAGACAGCAGGTCACAGCACAGAGTGCCCTGAAGGACTTGCATGGACTTGCTGGGACGCAGCCTTCAGGACAGACCACCAGTACCTCGTAGCCAAGTGGGAGCCGCAGGTTGGCCGGTCTCTTGGGAGACACAGGAGAAGAGCTCTGATCCCGCCGCATCACCGGGATGCCCGGAGCCGCCTGGGAAGCGTGCCACCCACTGCTCACACAAAGCATCTGCACAGGGCGTATATAGCAACAAATATACAGAAACAAACAAGCAGCTGAGCAGAGTTTAACACACATTGAGGAAGGAGGGTGCCCAGCAGCGTCCACCGGCTCAACACCAAGCAGCCTCTGCAGAGAAAGACGGGGCCTTATTTCTCTCCTTGGGAGCTGTTTGTTCAAGGAAAGCAGGAACAGACAAGAGAAGGGGGGAAAATTAGCTTGGAGGAGCCTGGCATGCTTTAAAAGGTCATCAGTGCTAATTAGTTAATGGGACACTGCTGCAGGAAGGTATCAGAGAGAGGCTGGGGCTCTCTTGGACCATCAGCACTGCGTTCCCCGGCTCTGCGAGCAGGATAGGCAGAGTTCAACAGGGCCCTAGGGTCACCTGCTGACACCTGATTTGAAGGTGTCTCGTTTTCTTTTCCTTGCCTTGTTTTTCAAGCAGCCCAGACATGAGGGCAGGAGGCAGCAGCTGGTCACTGAGCTGGGAGCAGACTGGCTGTCACCTCTCCCGCTCGGCCACGCACAGGGCCTGTTTATTTTTGCTGCAGGATCTGTAGTAACTGTGTGCACAGCTGGCTGGGTTTGCTTTCCAACAAGGCAGAGCTAAATCTGGACACCCACCTCTACCAGCAAAGACACAGGAGAGGCTGGACATTAAATCCTTGTCAAATACACATCTTACCTATCAAATATGTAAAATATCCAAGGCCCCATCTGCTCCATGATGCCAGTCAGGCCACAGTCTCTTACGCAGGGCTTTACTTGAGCACTGGCCTTGGTCCCTTTGCTACATCTTACCAAGAGCCTCTTGGATAACTAGCAGTCAGTGGATGCCATGTAGCTTTTAACCAGCTTCTCCCTGCACGGGAGGGGGAGGAGGCGCTTTGTGAAGGGCAGGAGAAATCAGTGTCAGGGAGTGACAACAGCTCCTTTTATCATTCTCTGAGAAAGAGTGATACTACCAAGGATTTATTTGCAGAAGCTGGGAGAGACAAGGGAGATGCTGTCAGCTCTCAAAGGCAGGGCCTGGTTTTGGTTACTGTTGGTTTTCTTGGTTCGCACAGCTCCGAGCATCCTGGTGCAGAGGCCAGCCTCCTGCTGCAGCACAAATCACATCCGATGACAAGCGTGGAAACTGAGGCTCGGATGTCTCTCCTGAGAAGCAGCACTGGAGAAAGCAGGTCAGGGTCTAGGAGAGACCTCGGGGCTGGAGCAGGGACATGTCCCCCTGCATGTGCAGACACAATGTCTTGCAGCTCCGTGCAGCGGGACGTACCGGCCGAGTAGCCGTCTCCCAGAGGCAGCACATCGGCCCTGTGGCCTCAGCCGTCACTTCTGAGTTTGTTTTTGTTTTAATGCAAAGTATCCTCTCCAGATAGCTCTGCCAGGGCTTGCTCCACAAGCACCCCAAAGCGCAGGCAGCCCCTGCAGCAGCCGGCAGGGTTTTGCATCTGTGATATCATGTATTACCAGAAAACTAATTTACTGTAAGCTGCCCTTATCCATTAAATGAGCAAGGGAATTGACCTACTCCCTGAATGTGAAGCATTGCTACAGTTGCTGCCTGGAGGAAGGCCTCAGCACCTTCCCTGGATCCCTTATCTCCACTTCACCAACCAGATACTTAGAAAATCCATTATTTTTTCAGCATTAATTCATGAGATGGAAGTCAGCCAGAATTTTGTGACTGTCCACATTCTAACAAAAAACAGTTCCCACCTTTCATTTGGACCATAAACTCCTGGCTGGGCTTTTCCCAGGAATCCTGTGCATTTGATTCCCATTTCAATCAGAAAGGGTGTGATTAATGCACAAAATAGCCTTCAAAAAAGCTCTTTGACTAAGCTAAACTTGTACAATCTGCCCACAAAAGATGCAAAACAGCTTTGAACAGTCTGGGATTGTGCATTTGATTCCCATTTCAATCAGAAAGGGTATGATTAATGCACAAAATAGCCTTCAAAAAAGCTCTTTGACTAAGCAGCTAAACTTGTACAATCTGCCCACAAAAGATGCAAAACATCTTTGAACAGTCTGGGAGTTAGAGAAGACCACACTTCTTTCCCCCCGCCTAGGGCAAAAGAAGATCTGTGACATCTGCATTTTGTTTTAAAAACTTTTACATATAAAAAGCTAGCTCTAAGTACACAACTAATCACTGGCAGATTTACGTATGTGTGCCCAGGCTCTGCCTATTATATTCTATCAAACAGCATCAGGAGAAAGGCCAGAGACGTCTATGTTCAAAACACAAAGCACCGCGTCTGTTTTGGCAGACCCGCCGCATATGCTGTAGCTATAACCCTGCATTTACTCTCGTCATGTATTATACACAAGCCATGATTCCTTCCCTTCAGGTTGGTGGTAATGTGGCTTTGAAGAGGCAGTTTCGCAGAGGGAGATGCACCCTTGGGCCAAAGCATCGCTGAGCCATCAGCATCCAGAAAGCTACTGCAATGTGACTTGACAGCTGGGCAGTACTCAGCTGAGCTGTGTTTACCCTGGACTTCTTGCTCTGGCTTCCACTGGTCTCTCTTTCTTTTCCTCCCACCTCTCAAAAATTTCCCATCATTGTTACCACAGGGGTTCGTGTCCAACACAGACAGAAGAGAGGGTTGTCAATAGCTGAATCGGGACATTTGGGGACATCTGGGGCCCCCACAATGCAGGCTAGCAACTGGACAATTCAAAATCGCGCTACGCCTGAGGATGGTGAATTCA